AGAGGGGAAAGGGGGAAGAAGGATTGTGGCGGCGGATTAAGTGCGAGGATGGGGTGGGTTGGGGGCCCAGGGTTTGAGGGGAAGAGGAAGGCCTTGAAGTGTGGAGGGCCGCCTCCCTTTCCCCTTGTGCCGGGATGAACCTGTGGAGAGACAGACAGATAGACAGACAGACAGACAGACAGATAGACCCTCTGCTCCGCCAGAAGCCCTTCCTGCCTATCCTCCATGCGGTCGCTTCCCGCTCGCTGCAACCACCCTTTGGTTGCGCCATGGCCCCCCCTCAACCCCCTGCCCCTCACCACCCTCGCTGCCCAAACCCTCGTTTTGTGTCGCCCTCCCCTGCCTCCTTCCCTTTCCGGCAAGTGTTTTTCACCTCCCCTCTCTACCTCCCCTCCATCATTCTCCCCGTCTCCTCCGCCTGTGTGCAAACCGCGCGACCATCACCATCACATCTTTCCTTCTTCCTCCCCAACCCCAACCCCAACCTTTCTGGCTGTCCCCACCCCCAACATCCTCCCACCCCGGGCAGTTCACAATGACTGTGATCTCCCGCGATCTGCCCATGACCATCAACAGCGGCGTCGTGAAGCAGCTGTGCAGAATCAACGCCACATCCGCACCACCTCCCGCCCCGCCACCTCCCCCCCCACCCATACCCCCGCCCTCCCCACCGCCGCCGCCGCCACCGCTCTCGTCAGTGTCCCCGTCCGGCGGTCGCACCTATGCCTCCGCTGCAGCCTCCGCCAGTAGCACCACCACTACCACCAGCACCACCACCAGCACCACCACCAGCACCACCACCAGCACCACCACCAGCACCACCACCAGCAGCAGCACCACCACCAGCAGCAGCACCACCAGCAGCAGCACTCCGGACTCCAGCGGTGGTGTTGGTCCCCGGCTGCTGAACGGCTCCTCTATTCGGCTGGACGAGTGGCACGAATGCGACACGGGGGGAGACGCGCAAAACATCTCCTATGAGGGCTTCAGGTACTGGTGGTGGTTGCTTCAGTAGTGTAGTGGTGGTGTGGGGTGTGTGAGTGGGGGTCTGAGTGGAGGTCTGAGTGAGCATCCTGGGGTAAGGGTAATGACGCACATGATGAAGGCAGATCGAGGAGTGAGTGAGCGGGGTAGGGGGAGGAGGAGGGGGGAGAGTGCTGCTGCTACTGCTGCTACTGCTGCTACTGCTGCTACTGCTGCTACTGCCACAGCAGCTCTTGCCCTAAATTTTACACCCTTACCGGCTATCTATGGCTGTCGAGGCTACACCACCTCTGGCTGCGTGTGATGCGAGTCCTCCCCCGTCGTCTTCCGCTCCTCCCCTCTCCCTGAGTTCCCTGTCTCCCTACCTCCCTGCCTTTCTCCGCATACAGCTCCGGCTTCTACACCTTCAGCATTCGCGCCCTGGATGCCGCGGGCAACCTGGGCGACCCCGCGACGCCGTACTTCTTCCAGGTGGACGCCACCCTCCCGGATGACGGGGTGGAAACCGTGCAGGTGCGCCCACGTGTGTGTACGTGTGCGTGTGAGTGTGCGTGCGTGTCAAGGGGAAGGGGGGGAAGGTTTGTGTTGCTACAGCTGGACACGTCGCAGCGGCTGCTGGTTCTGCTGCTGCCGATGTCATGCAGCTACAGCAGCAGTAGCTTTCACAGCTGTGTGTGTGTCTCAGCTCGCGGCAGCTGGGGTGGGGCCGGGGAGGGGGCGGAGGGGGGGCTTGAGGAGGGAGGGAA